GCTCTCTGGAGAAGCTGTCTCCCCTCCACATCAAGCACCAGTTCCACCAATTCCCCCGCAGAGTGGAGAAGAAGATGCATTTGGCACTTTTTGTCCGATTGCGCCTGCGAAGAGGAGCAAGCGCTACGTGCAATGTGTATGCCGCACGGTGCATCCTCAATCTCGCTCTCGTTCACTTCTTCTCTGCCACTATTCCCAGGAGAAAAAGGTAAGCGACATCCAGTCTTTAACGTCCAGAATACCTCCACAGACTTGTTCTTTGTCTTTTTTCCTCCATCGGACCATATGAAAATAGTGGAAGTATCACATGTGATCGCAACAATATACACCCCCCCTGGGGTCATCCTGCAAGCCTTGAGAGACATGCTTGTATTGAGATTCGGCATACGGTAGAAGCCACTCAAGCAATTTTCATCCATGTGCCACTTGCAGACCCCATTGACCCCTGAGAGCACTGCCACAAGGATATTTGGACTCGTCGGGTTGGAGTCTATAGAATATATATGCCCACACGATGGAGGCATTGGAGTCGGAAGAAAAGGACGACAAAACTCAAGTGGATCAGCTGCCATTGCTGCCCAAAACAAACTCACCGAGCCCGCCTCCTCCTTCAGTTTCCAATACATGACGGATCCACCTCGGCACCCAACTACCCCCCACGTCATACCTTGTGGAACATGGAGACATGCAAACAATGCCCCAGCTTTGCCAGAAGAAAAAAGTGCGGAGGGGGAATGGCGTCTTGTGAAGTCGACAAGCAGTAGACACTCTGGAGACAACAACAGAAAGCTCGAAGTTCCGGCAAATATATGAACGTCTAGCCATCGCAGACCTTTTCGCACTGGCAGTACCGCACGTCGACGACCGCGCGTAAGCACAACGACGGGCACATTGTCCCCGACGCAAAGGAGGTTCCCCAGAATGGGGTCGTAGGCGCATAGATGGTACATCGCGTAGTTGATTGTCTCGTCATTGCAAGTGAAGGTTGGGCGCTCTGATTTGAGAGTATCTCTGTCGATGGAAGTGATCGATCCCTTCGGGATCCAGGGCCAAATCTTTTTTACGAGTTGCTCCATTGTTTCTTCACTGACACGGATTACACGGCAACCCCTATTTGCGTCCGCGGCAAATGGCGCCAGTGAATAAAATTGCTGAAGGTGAATGTGCGTATGTGTTTGTGGAGGGGGAAATAAAAAAAGATGGGCGAAAGAGAAACAACATTAACTGTCATCACCGTGAGACACGCGGACTCTCCCCTCCCCCCTCCAAATATATATAAATGTATATGTATACACATATACACCGCTTTCAAGCGCAAATCAGCAAAAAAAATAAAATACATGAAGCGGCAAATAACACCTTCGATCACCACTCGCTGCCCACCGCAAAACACGCACAATATAAATATACACTACGCTCAAAAAGGCAAAAGTAGGCGCAGGAAATGGAAAAGACCAAAACAGACAACATTATTGTCTCATTTCCTGTTGTTGTTGTTGTTGTTGTTGGGGGCCGGAATTTTACTGACAGCGACACTCCGAGAGAATTGCCTGGCATCGCGCTAGCGCAGCGGAGGCCACTGTGTACTGCCGTCTGAGTGACTCCATCGCCCTCTCCCCTGCCTCCAGAGTCTGAGTGTTGGGAAAAACGGCGACAAAAGTACTGGCCAAAATCACCAAAACAATACACGCCGAAGACGCCAGAATAAGCCTTCGAAAACGAGCAAATGCGGAGAGACGCAACTTTCGCGCGGACATGATAACCTGAGAGAAAAACTGCTGCCGGGCACGCTCGGAATTGGTCGCATACAACACTTCGGAAGTCGGCGCAGAGGTGATGCGTGACACACTTTCAAATACAACCGAGTGTGAATTTTGGGGCCTCTCCGGGGCGGAGGCATTTTCCGTCTGCAGACGTTGAATAATGGCCGCAGAGCGTTCCGCTTCCAATTCGCGAATGCGAGCCTCAAATTGACAAGTTTTAGCAACCTGTTCCTCGCGGTACAGGGCGAACCTCGCGTTCTGTGTAATTAAGTCATCCAACTGAATCTGTAACTGCTGTATAGTTTGATCCCTCCTCTGAAGCTCTGTCTGTTGTGCAGATAACCTTGTCTCCGTGAGGCTGCCCTCTCGCTCGAGCGTGGCAAGCCTACATGCTGCCTCTTCCGAAACATCCATGTGTCTGGAGCTACGAACCCCGGCTTCACTCCGCTGCGTCCCTAGTTCACACATGCGCCCACGGGTGCATTCGTGCGCCTCTTCCTCCTCGCGCAGCAGCTGCCGAAGTTTTTGGCGATCCTCCTCTTTTGACAGTAATTCCTCCTCGCGAAGCTCAATAAGGCGTTGGCTCTGCGACTGCATAAGCTCCATCTCACTAATCACCTGCTGGGCGTGATCCAATTCATGCCAAAGACTCTCAATGCGATCCGCCTGATTAGATTTATCCTCCCGCATCTGCCGCAGGGTCGCCTCCAAGGTCCGACACACACCCTGCTGTTCTTCAAGAAGTCCCTCACTTTCCTGAAGCAGCCTTTCGAAATGTACACGCTGCTCCTCCAGTGCTGCATTGGCAGTCATTTTGAGGCTTTCCGCCTCGCTAACTATCACAGTATTCCTCGCCTCCATCTCCCGTTCACGGAGCAGTCCCCGCTCCACCTCTTGGCGCGCTTCTCCTGCAAGTTGCTTTACCGCCTGTAATTCCCTCTCCAGGCGTGCAAAATTGTCTTCTTTCTGCCGAATGACGAGTCGAAAATCCTTTTCCCTCAGCCCGTGCTCCTCACCTCTGGTATTTAGTGTTTTTTCTAAATGCGCCACCTTTGAACGCCATGTGTCTATTTCTTTCTTTAACTCTGCAATCTTTCTCTCCGCCTCCATTTGTTTCCATTTCAGATCCTCCAATTGGCGTTGATTTCGTCCATTCTCAGCTAAAAGCTCCGCACGCGCCTGTTTCTCGCGCTGCAACGCAGCCACCAAGGAACCCTGCATTTGCGACGTCTCCTTAATTGTGGTGCCTGGAATTTTTTTGTCATCATGAGAGTTACCATCAACACCGTCCTTTGCAAGGGACACTCCTTCTTTTTCAAGGGATGTTTCTTCCACTATTCCTACTGCCGCCGCACGCGCCTCACAAATTTCCCTCTCCAACTCTTCGTTGCGGTGCCGCATCGCCTCCTTAAACCGGTCAAATTGTTGGTACAACTCCTGTAAATCCTCCTTTTTGGATGTCTCCGCGGCCAACTGTGCGCGTTCCGCCTCGATTTGCCGCTTATATGCCCTTTCCGCCTCTTCTACAGCCCTCTGCAGCTCGGCCTGCAGCTGTTCCATCTTGACCTCCGTCTCCATCATATACACCTCGTCCATCTTCCCCGTGGCACCCGCGCGGCGCAACTCTTCCAACATGCGTTGATCATTAGCTTGCTGCTCCAGGAGCAAATGCTTTTCCTTTCCGGCGGTGCGTCGGAAGGTGTCGTACTCCGAGCGTAGTGCAATTGCATCGGCAAATAATTCGTCGTGCTTTGTCTTCTGCTCCGCCAGCTGAGTCCGCAGCTGCGTCAACTCCGCGACCAGCTCTTCCCTCGTTGCGTTCGCATGGATTTCCAACGATGTCGATAGAGTAACTGCATCAGAGCGCTCTTCACCAAGCTCCATAAGTCGCTGGAACAGTCTGGACATGATGCCGCGTCGTGTAATAGTGGAAGCCACCTCTCGTCTTCCTCACTTCCCTTCTTTTCTCGTCGTGTTGCTGCCTATGCCTCTCTCTTTCCTCGCATACACACAATATCCCCTTTCAGAGACTTGCAACTTAAGAATTCCCTCGCTGGTAAGAAATACACAGGCACACACACACAAAAAAGGGCAATTGAAGGGTAATTGAAGAGTAATTAGCTGCAGGGGTAGTCGGGCAGTGGTGGAAATGAGAGAAAGAAGCAATTTCCTTAAAGATCAATGGGCACTGAGTAAGCAAACACAAGGTTACCCATTCCCACAAACAAAAATGCACACCGAACCTCGTTTGCCACTCACGCTCCACACCTGCACCACCACCACTCATATTGTGGCCTATTAAAAATCAAGTTGGAGCGATGCCTTCTGTTTTTGTTGATGTTGTTGTTGTTTTGTTGTTTCGGGTTTAATTGCTGGCATTGGTAACAAAGATATGTGATATCACGACGCTCCCGCCACTTTGTCCGTTCACGGCAATTCGAGTGATGGACGCAATGAGACGCAAGCCATGACCAGCAGATAAACATTTGTATCTGTAAGTAAAAACAGACGCGCGACAAATCAAAAATGCATATATATATATATATACAGGGAGAGAAACAAAAAAAAAAAATAATAACATGAATATGTATAGGGGTGGTGAAATGTGTATTCTGTATTGAAAAGCGGATTATTTGCACAGTAAAGAAAAAAGAACAGACAAAAAATAAAAAATGGACAAAAACAAATTACCGACACCCCTCTCTTTCACATAGTCACTTTTAGGCGTTCTCGTGGGTCACTACGAGAAAAGGAGCCAAGTGACCGTAGAGTGCAGGGATGAATGCCTTGTATGACGGCAGTCTCTCCACCTCCACGCCAACGAGGTGCTCGCCCTCTTCGAGAACAAAGAGGTCGTCAAAATGGAGGACAACTGAACGCCGCCACGGTGCCTGCTCTCTGCAGCGTGCAGCGCCATTTGAATCATCAATGGAGAATGCGGCGGTCTTTAAATTTATTTCCCCGTTCCTCTTTTCAGTCGCAGGGATTACTGCCTTCCCAGCCACACCTCCATCAGCGCCGTTCAAAAGTTTCCGCGTGGTGCCGCAAAGCTTTGACGCCGCCGGCCGACAAAGAAAGACATTCACCGCAGCGTATCCACACAACTGTGTTTTATCCACCTGCTCTTGCTGCTGCTGCTCCAGAATAACCTTTACTGGAGGCATGACACGGTGCGGAGTCACACGCTCCACACGCGGTTCCCACCACAAACGCACTTTCGCTGTACGGTAGGCGGCACAGAGAGGCAACTCCGCGTACACTTTATTCAGCGTGTGCGGACCAGAAAACTGAGAAACGGCCTCCTGCAAACGTTGATCTCGCCATGTGCCCTGCGTGATGAGGCCCACAGAAAATTCCGCCACGGCATTCCGCGTGATGAAGACACCCATCACGGCCTTGCCGCGCCGCGAGGAAACAGGAAAAGAGTTCAGTATATGTTCAGCGGCAAACATTACGGCGTGTTCCCAAAAAAAAGTCACTTGATCTTCTGTGAGGGTTTCAAGAATGTGACAGCGGGTAAGGGAATCGTAGTCAGCATGCGAGGCAGTCATGGATATGGACTCATGCAACGCAAGACTGGTAGGGTTAACATTGGGCCTCGAATCCGCAGAAGCAAAAGCGTCTACTTGCTTCGCCTGCTGGCAAAATAAATCATAGACTTCAGTAAGCTGCGTACATTTGCACATATACTCGCTCTTTTCCATCACCTCATGTCGGTGAAAAACACACGACGGAAAACTCTGACGCATAACAGGGGAATTGGCGGTCTCTAAAATAAGAGTCAAGAGGGAAAGAGAGGCAGAGGAAAAGTGGCACCGTGAAAGAATACGGTCGATGGCCATCACGCTGATGCCAATTTGAAGCAGCAGGGAGAAAAGTCTCTCCACACATAAAATAACAATATAAATAAACAAATAAATAAAGGCGCAATTTAAAAAAAAAAGAGGAAGTCTTTTTTGCTTGTTTGTCTATTTGTTTAATTTCGCTTAGATGTGATCCTTCCCTCCTTCTTTTTCTTCTGTTATCCTTCTGGCGATGAGAGCGCAGGACTCTCCCCGCCCGTACCGCCCGCACCCCTCCTCACTACGAGACAATCGAGACAATGTCAGAGAAGCGCAGTGGCTGTTGGTTAGAATCGCTCTCCGGGGCGTTGAAGATCGACTTGGCAAAAGTCACGGTCTCCGCGTCGCAGGAGACGATGGAAACGGCCTCACCGGCAATGCTGGCGGCTTCAGTCAGCGTGGACTGCAGCTGGTCGGAATTCACCCCAAGATACGCCGCCATCTTCGCCACCGGCACCTTCTCAAGCGTGCTGGACACCACAATCAAAATACCCGCGCGCACCTGTGACTCAAAGCTTGGCGAGGCGGCAGGAAGGCTCTTTGACTGATTCCACACCTCCCAGAACTGCACAAACCTGCCGCAACTCAGATAGTTCTCCAGGTCGTAAATCGTGCCCAGCTCCTTCTCAACGTATGGAGCGTCCTGCACGTGCCCAGGCACAAGAGATATACAGGCTAAAAAATCATTACTGTGAAAGCGCGGGAGCGTCTGCAGGAGAATTCCAAGAAGAAGCCGCTTGTCTGGCTGAGTACCCGCCATGACATAACTTTTCAGAAAGCGCAAAAAG